GTACTTCCATCATCTGATTTGGTGGCTATGCACAAACTACATGTCTATGTACACATGGTATTCGCAAAATGATCACTTGCGCTCGAACCTTGCACCTGTCTAATGCGAGGCTTTTAACTCTGCAGGACGTCCTTTGTTCTTTGCAGAAAGTTACTATACATTGTTATGCAATTTTACTACCCCATGAGGGGGAAATGGTGCCCCCTGACTGTCTGACTCTGTTAGAAATTGTTCATAAACCTAGGCCTGACCTTTCTGTCACTCCTGGCTCTAACATGGTTCCCTTTGTTGGTGGTTCTAGCCCTAGGCTTCCTGATGGTTCACCTTCTACTGCATATGCCTGCTTATAGTTTATGGACTTAATTTGACTCCCAGATATACCTCAGAGACTAGTTTCTCATTTCCTGATGTCTTGCTACAGTGCTGGTTCCCTGTGCAGCCCCTGCTAAGCTCCCAGTCCCCAGTTCTAGATCTGGTTTCCTGAGCTTCTACTTCTTGGAGCTACTCCAGTGCTGACCTTTCGGATTGCTCCCCCTGCACCAGCTCCCAGAGCTACTCCTTCAGTGCCAGGCTAATGGATTGCTCCACAGCCAGCGTCCCTTCTCCATTCAGCTGGCCCCTGCTGCTGGGCCAGTGCACCTGGCCTTCATAGCTGACCCAGCACCCTTGGGCTTTGTCCCTGGCTCTCCCTCTGACATTCACCGTTACCAGTTTCTGGTCGCTCCTGTCCTTGTTCTGTCTGTAGACCCGTTTGTTGGACTGTCCTCCCTTTTGACTTCCCACTTGTTCTGGCTGTGCCTCCTCTTGTTCTGGGTCGATTCTGTTTGTGTTTGACAGTCACACCGTAAAGTCTTAATTAAATCCTAATGTCTCCCCACTACATTTGAACCTGCCCAGCATGAAATGACTCATTCTGTTACAGGACGGCAGGGAGGCGGACCCAAGTGCAGAGGGGAAAACCATGAGAAAGTGTCTTACATGAATTTATTGAGGTGATAGCGAGTGAATTTGGTGATTGTGCGTGCCGGAGTTCAGGTGACCCAGAGTCGGGTTTGAATCCTGGATGTACTGATTAGCGGTGCGAGGAGCTCCCGCTGCACCACCGGGAAGCACAGGCGACAACAGGAAAAACACCTAAATGAATGGGAAATAAAAAGGTGGGAAAAAGGCAAACAAAGGGGACGCTGAAAGCATACCTAGAGCAAAGGGGAGCTCTGACCACAAGAAATTCACAAATGCACGTTTAGGAAAATACAAAAATGCAATCTTTATTAAACAGAGCTGAGGTCATACACCCACTGTCAGTTCAGTTTGTAAAATAATTAAATAAATAAATAAATAAATAAAAGAACAGTGCTAAAAATATTCACAGTGCTACTGGGGTTACTCAAGCCTTGGCCAGTTGGGACGCTAACTGAAGATTATTCTCTCAGTGACACACGTGAGTAAATTCTAAAAAAGGCACCATTCCAGCAGTACATGCTAATCACTCCAAATACACTGCACTGCAAACTTCTACCACTGTAGTGAATGCAGCAAAACCATCCCCAATCATTACTTAGTCCCAAACTCCCTTGACTTGACTTACCCCATGTAGACTGGAGTACGACTAAACGGAAAATAAATAAACAAACAAATAAATAATAGCAGTGGATTGTGTGCCCCTCTCACCACCATTTGTTATTACTGAGAATGAAGTCAGATCCAGTTTAATATACATAACCCAAATAAATCACCAGGACCAGATCATCTGCCCTGACATCTTATACCTTTGTGCTTCTCAAATGGCTTCAGTGTTTACTGATAAATTTTATTTCTCTCTGATCCGATGTGCTGTGCAACAGTGTTTCAAGGAATCATTTATTGTCCCTGTTCCAAAATCTGGGAATGATTTTAGAGCCATAATAGGCACTTCAGTAAAGGCTTCATATCAATTCACATATTGAGCCAGTTTATTCTAGTTCTTTATCACATTCTGAGACAAATAGATCTATTCATAGATTTCAGCTCCACCTTTACTCCAGTGAACATCGCTAAAGCATTAAGTTAGCTTAATATCATTGGTTTTTGGCCATTGCCAGCAGAAAGAAACAGTCCATTAAAATTTAAATTTAAAATGTTTCAGTACAGGTGCACCTCAAGGCTGTGTACTGTCTCTGTGTTTTCTTCGCTCTATACTAATGATATGGTATCTCACAATAAATCTCTTAAAATCGTGAAATATGCAGATGACAACACCATAATAGTCCTCTGTAACAATTTAATGATGGGTGGAGGAGGGACCCCAGGGGCAGGTGTGAAGACGGAGAACTGTTTGGCTTTTCAGGCCACAAAGTAAGTCAAAACGCTTGCTGGGACTTTTCTGTCCACTTTTTTTTTCTTTCTAGCTCGGCTCAGTTCGGCTCAGCTCGGCTCTCACGCCTTCACAAGTCTCCTTCTCTCTCTGGGATCTGCCACCTACTGAGGGAAGAGATGACTATAAGTAGGCTGACACAAACAAGGCACAGGTGAACGTCATCAGCTACTTAGCCTGCTGGTTCAGTCCAACCGGCTTCTCCATTCTGCATTCGACGCTCGGCCACACCTCCTTCTCCACAGCCTCCTTACAGATAATAATGAGACTAATTGTCAACAAGAGGTGAATGAACCAATAATGTGAAGTACTAACAATGACCTCCAGAGAATAATGTAAATGAGCTCAGGCCCAGAGAAGGCGGTGGCGTTTCTGGATTCTGTTTATATGTGGTTTCTTCTTTCTATGTTGGAGTTTTAACTGTCATTTGTGGATGCAGTGATGAACTGTTTTCACAGACAGTGGTTTTCAGAAGTGTTTCTGAGCTCATGCAGTGATTTCCACTACAGAATCATGTCTGTTTTTAATGCAGTGCTGTCTGAGGGCCCAAAGATCACGGCCAGCTAATACTGGTTTTTGGCCTCGTCCCTTACATACAGAGATTTCTCCAGATTCTCTGAGTCTTTTAATGATATTCTGTACCGTAGATGATGAAAAGCAAAAGTTCTGTACTATTTTATGTTGAGAATCGTTATTCTTGAATTGTTGCACTATTTGATGGTGCAGTCTTTCACAGAATGGTGAACCCCTCCTCATCTTTACTTCTGAAAGACTCCGCCTCTCTGAGATGCTCTTTTATACCCAATCATGTTACTGACCTGCTGCCAATCAACCACCAGGTGTTTTTTTTAGCATTTTACAACTTTTGTTGCCCCATCTCAACTTTTTTTGGAATGTGTTTTTTGGCATCAAATTCAAAATGGGCAAATATTTAAAATAAATAAATAAATAAAATAGTAATTCTCAGTTTCAGCATTTGATATGTTATCTTTGTACTATTTTCAATTAAATGTGGTTTAAATGATTAGAATATTATTGCATTATTTTTATTTACACTTTGCACAGCAATTTAACTTTTTTGGAAATCGGGTATATATGTATATCATTAGTCTTTTTTTTTTTTACCATATATAAACATAAGGACTTTTGATCTTCATTTTAACAGTATTGAGTGACAGAAATAATGTAACTAAACTAATAAAACTGAAGAAAAATAATCTGCAAAATATAATTAAACAGAAATTTTCCTGTGAGGAAAAAGTCTAAAATTAGACTCAGTTGCAGCACGTCAGATGAAATAATTAGAACATTGTTAGAGAGGATTTTGAAGGAGACTGTCTTATTTAAAACTCAGACATTTAGTTTGGTTTGCTCTTGATTGTTGAAGTGAGCAGTATCACCATTGAGAGATCCAAAAAGCTCTCTGAGGCCTTCAGAAAGAAGGCTGTAAATATGTATGAGTCTGGGAAAGGATTTAAAAAGATCTCAAAACAATTAGAAATCAGGCATTCCACTGTCAGGCCGTCCTAGCAAGTTCAGCCCAGGAGCAGAGCGCAAAATGTGTAATGAAGTCTCCAAAATCCTTAAATGTTATCATGGGCCATACAGGAAGCTCTTGCCACAGTTCATGTCAAAACACATTGATCTACCTTCAGAAAGAGGCTACACAAGTTTGATTCTCATATGAGGTGTGCAAGGCAGAAACCTTTGCTGTCAAATCAAAAAACATCAGGGCATGACTGAAGTTTGCCTGAAGACCAGGACTTCTGGAACAGTGTGCTTTGGGCAGATGAATCCAAAGTTGATTTTTTTGGGCACAGTAACAGAAAACATGTTTGTCACAAATCAATTGCAGCATTTGAGAACAAGACCCTGATACCAACTGTGAAGCATGGTGGTGGAAGTATCAAGGTTTGGGGCTGCTTTGCTGCAGCAGGGCCTGACAAGCTCTGCATCATAGAATTCACTATGAATTCTTCATTGTATTAGAGGCTGCTTTAGGAAAATGTGAGACCATCGGTCCAAAAACTGAGGTGGGCCAGGCAACATGACAATGACCCAAAACATTCCAGTAAATCCACCAAGGAAGGGCTCAAAAGAAAGAAGTGGAGAGTTCTGGAATGGCCGAGTCAAAGCCTGGATCTTAATCCTAGTGAGGTGCTGAGGGTGATGTGAAACGGGCTGTACATGCAAGAAACCATTAAACATCACACAGCTGAGAGATTCTGCATGGAGGAAAACTTTCTCCCAGTCAACGTCAGAGGCTGGTAGACAGTTACAGGAAACGCCTGTGAGGTTAATTTAGCCAATGGGGGAAATACCAGCTATTAGGGCAGAGGGTGTCCTAACTTTTTCAGGTGGAATGGCATCTTTTTCTTTTGTTGTTAAATAATGAAGACAAAGTCACATTTTCACCTTTGCAAAAATCTATTTATGTATAAAAAACTGTTTAAAGCAAAATCAGACTTTGAAAAATCCATATTTCTTAATGAAAAACTATATATTTAATGAGGTATTATATTTTTCACATTACAGTATTGTATATCTTACTGTATGCTGTCTATTGTATAAATTGTTAAATTGTATGTTTTATTCTTTTGCATATTGTGTTATTGTTCATGTAACCAACGACACAATGACAGCCATCATCAGATCACTGTTCCACTTTAATTAATTTATTCATTAGTCAGTGCTTTAAAAACATTTTCAGCCTAAGTTTTATACAGGCTGATGTGTTGTTCTCACGCTGGTCTTGGTGAACCTCACTACCACAACAACAGAGCTGTTATATATTGGCCTCATTCTCCAATATCATAAGAGCAAACCCCAGATAAGAGAACACTGGTGAGTCAGATTTCTCGTCAAAACTGCGTAAGTAGGTTTAAGAAGAACTTGCTTCCTAAGAACGTTTGGTGAATGAGGCCTAATATTATCTTTCTGAATAAGGAGAGGTTCTAGATCACATCTCATATCTGTACTGAGGATGTTCTAAAAGAGTTAGAGCATGTCCGTCTCCACAGCCGAGAGCTTTCTTCCACTCGGTCACTTCATCCACGCTGAGGGGAAGCGACGCTAACACGGGGAATTTCCTTTGTTTTTCTTCTCTGTATTCAGCGAGGGACTCGAATGTGGCCACGATTCGCACCAAACTCCTGTTTATGGTTGTAATCTGCGCGTCTTTGATCATCTCTCTCGTCTGGTTCAGTTTGTTGATATCTTCAGCGAGTCTCTGCATGTTTCCCAGAGCCTAAACAAACAACACACACAGAAATAAACAGATTAGGCCACATATGCAGTGATGTTCTCATCTCATGATGCTCCTTTTCATGTACTTTATATTTCTACATATTTTTGGTAGGATGACAGGTTTTTGTTTCCTTTTGGGAACCTGAAGGAGTGTTTGGACCCAGAAATGTCATTCACGGCTTTGGAAACTGTGTAAAACAATATAATGCATTCTTCCCCATAAAACAATTGCTTAGACTGTACATTCTGAGCCAGAATGGCATTCTGTCCCATTTCCACCTTTGGTCACTCTGCTGAGCCAGTCTGGGGGGCTCGTCTGGGATCCCAACTCAGGACCTCATGTTCTGTTAACAGTGTAGTTTTACCAAATGTGAATATTCAGTGGGCAGGTGACGGACTTTTAGATAAAAAGTCTTCTGACTGAAAGAGTTTTGACTTACTGCTGACAGATTTTTCATGAATTGGGACAAAATTCCGGACTCAAGCGGGACGTCCTCTCCTTCCAGTTTCACGTAGTCGCCCTGGTGCTCTTTGAGCCACGTTACAATTTCCTCCATTTTTTGTTGCAGGATTTTAAAAATCCTGAGACTTTCTTCCAGCTTCTGGTACTTCTCAGCAGCCGCAGGGTTGAGCCAAAGCTCCTTTAAAAGTTCCTTCATGGCTCTGAAAACAGCATCGATTGCAGCCATCTCTTTAACGAGTTTGCTGAATTTGGCTAAGTAAAGTAAGACCTTCTGAGCGATTTCAGCTGCGGTGATGGACGCCGTCTCTGCAGCTGATTCAGCCGCCGCTTCGGCCGCCACTTCGGCCGCCGCTTCTGCTGCAGCTTCTGCAGCAGCCTCCGCTGCCACCTCCACTGCCACCTCTGCAGCCGCTTCAGCTGCGGCAGCCACACCTGTTATAATTACTTCCACTACAACTGCTACAACAGCACCCATCTCAGCAGAGTCACCTGAACAAACAGAACAAAAACTTATAAACTCTATAAATTGTTGACTTGACAAGAAAACATTCCTAAAAGGGAAATTTCACTAAAATGTTTAAATCTTTAACCATGTAAAATCATGCAGACGCTGGTACTGAAGGAAATGGAGCTCTAGTCTGCATGATGGCGACTGCAGAGCCTCAAATGAGACGTTCCAAAAATCAAATACTGTAACGATTTAGCTAAAGTACAATTTGAGATGCTGATAAAAAACTAAAAACAGATTTAAATTCAGAATAAACACACTGTCTTTCTGTCTGTCTGTCTGTCTGTCTATCTATCTATCTATCTATCTGTCTGTCTGTCTGTCTTTCTGTCTTTCTCTCTATCTATCTATCTATCTATCTATCTATCTGTCTGTCTGTCTGTCTGTCTGTCTATCTATCTATCTATCTGTCTATCTGTCTGTCTGTCTGTCTGTCTGTCTTTCTGGAAACCTGCCTCCTGTTATTAGCTTGTTTTTTGTTGTCCAGTGTTTGGTTATGTCACACAATGAGCTGCTCTACTGTACAGTAACAGTTCAGTGAACCGTTTGTATAATCAGATGTGTCCGTTTGGTTTGAGTCCAGTAGTTTCAAGGCTGTAAACAGTAACAGATCAATAACCAAAGAGATTTAAGAGCACGTCTTACCCAGAGTGATTCCAGCAGAACAGTCAGAGACGAACCCCCTGTGGCTGAAGAAGTGATGGTGTAGAACTCTTGAGCTGAGAGCTCTTAAATACGGAGAGAAACTCCCACCAGTGTGATTTATTAACAGAAGGAATGTCGCCGAGTTCAGTTTGTGGAGAAAGGAAGCCACTCCCTCTTTCTGCCCTTCCTCTGTTTATATAACAGCCAGCGCTGCCCTTCACCCGACACTGGCCAGAAGTCCAGCACCTCAAGTGTTTATAGGAAGATTGTTTAGACTAACTTCCTAAATCCTGCTAGAATTGTTAAACTTTGAGGTTTTGTGCTACTTTTAATTATCATTAAATAATAATAATAATAATAATAATAATAATTGTTATTATTATTATTATTATTATTATTATTATTATTATTATTAATCCAAAGCTTTTATATTAATTCTGAAAGCATTGGCGGTGCTCCTCATCTGCAGAGCATAAGAGTGTTATTAACAATAACAATTAATTAGCACAAAGATGATGAATTTGAACAAAATTAAATTTACACAAATAAAAAAGCTAAAATTGAACGTGTTATTTTGCCCATTACCAATAAATAAGGACAAATTATATACAGTGTTATATATCATTGCTGTTACCCATTACCCGTAATTTACTACAGATTATAAACAGTAATATATGTGTTGTTACCATTACCCATAATTTACTACAGATTATAAACAGTAATAAATGTGTTGTTACCCATTACCCATAATTTACCACATATTATAAAGAGTAATAAATGTATTGTTACATCACTGCTAATTTACTACAGATTATAAACAGTAATAAATGTGTTGTTACCATTACCCATAATTTACTACAGATTATAGACAGTAATACATGTGTTGTTACCCATTACCCATAATTTACTACAGATTATAAACAGTAATATAACAGCATTATGTTACTCATCACCTCTAATTAATTATTATTACAGATTATATAGCATAAAATGACTTCACATGCATAGATTCAGAGCTTATAATTAACTCTGTTGATTATATACGTAAGTGACGCAGTGTAGAGTCAAAGAAACGCTGAGTACATTATCAAATTAATATTAACGTTTTCAGTGGATGTTTATAGCAGAACATCAGTTATGTTAGAAGAAGAGACGTTAACATGATTACAGAAGAATAAAGCAGATATGAGGTTAAGACGTGACTCATAGGAATATATTAACTCACTAACCTTACGATGTTTCTAAAACTGCTTCAGTGAAATGAAATGAAAGAAATCGGGTTACAGTTCAATAATCGTAAAATAACTATTGAAACTGTGGGGAACTTTGATGGGCCAGTTAGTATTCATTCACACCTGACAGGACTGTGTGGGAAAATATGATATATGTTAACAGAGGGCTTTCCTTCACGGTTTGATTAGGAAAGGAAAGACGTTTGATTTAGCATTAAAAGACTGGCGTGTCATTGTTTTCAAGAGATCTAAACAAGCTGTGGTGTTAAGATTTAGTCTCTGAAAGGAATTTGTGACCTGTGGAATGTGCTCATGCCCAAAGGCAGGTGTCCCAGAGTGCTTGCAAAAGGAATTTTGTGAGGTGTGTCACAGCCAAGAGCTCTCTTTTCTCCCAGGGTCTGTACGTTTATAAGTAACTCTAATACTATCTGTACTATTTGCCCTGATAACTGTCTGTAATCTAAAGTCTTCAAAAAGAATCAAAGAATATCAACAAAAATGAAAAAGGATAAAAGGAATTAAAGAGGACCTCAGCCGCTGAGTTCCTGTGGAAGGAAGGAAAAGGCCTTCGCTTTACTGAGCATCAGATGGCAAGAAGGTTCCTGGTCAACCACACTGCGAATATCATCACTTTTTATTTTCCCCTGGTGTGATGAGGTAATCCCCCCCACCCAGTTACACAATTCCATACCATTTTATTTCATACAGTTAAACAAACAAACTTTTTCAGGCAGTTTAAAATGAAAAACATGACAAGTTTATTTCATTTAAGTGCTTTACAAATAAGAAAATACACAGTTAAAGAAGAATAGAAATTAAAAACATGATTAAAGCCTGGTTTAAATCATTACATTAAAAATCAAATAAGAAATTAATCTAGGGTAGTTAAAACATGAAATTAAAAATTAAAGGCTAGATTAGGATAAAAAAGTTGCTGTTATAGAAAGTAAAAGCAATTAACCACCAACTACACTGTCTAATGTAACTAACACAAGCAATGTGTCCATTGTATATAATCTAATATATAATCTGAGTAGCTGCTAAAAGAAATGAGTCAGAATGCACTAATACGGTAATCTATTAATCTCTGTATGTATTAAAAGAGATAAGACAATGATTGGTAACATATTCAGAGTTTTTGTAAGTAATAGTTGACACAAAAGCTTAAATTCAAGAAATGCTGGATTACAGATTAAAAAGAATTGAAGCTGTATTACTAAAACAGGCTGCATTATGTGGTTATTCAGCTCTGGAAATGTACTGCATGTCTTCACTTGTTGTTCTGTTTTAAAGGCCCATATCCTACACTCTTCCTTCCCTTCATTTCCCCCATCATCTCCACTTATAGCGTTTGTGTGGAAAATTGCTGGAATTCGAGTTGGAATTCGTTTCTACACGATCACTGTCCAGCCTTGCAGTTAAACAGGCTGTTTCTGTTACTGTGCCTTTAAGGCATAATATGTAAATGAGCTCTTAAGTATGACTGTTTATGGTAATAAAACCACACAAACATTACAATAAAAGTCAGGGTGGAGATGAAATCAGAGAAATGTGGAAAGTGGCTGTTTCATTGTTATTAGGGAGGCACTGTGTGTTTTTACCACAGAGGTAAATCTCTGACAGTTTGGATCTGAACTGTGAGGGTGATGATATCAGGCAGTTTCACTGGAAAGCTTTCTAACTGTGGAAACTTCTGCTGGTGTTGAGTTACGTATGTGACGAGGTCACTGTAGCCCTTCAGAAACGCGTCAGCAGCTGAGATGAGCTTCACTGTATCTCCTACAGGAGGTCCGGAGTACTGAAGCTCGGTTTGAAGTGCCTTTGCAGCAGCCATAGCTTGATCAGTTGCCTGAAAACACAGAGTCAGAAGAAAAACAGTGATCAGAGATCAATCTGAGACTGACAGACGCAACAAGATTTAACTGAACTTCAAAAACTCAACATATCGTAAAATAACAGAATGTAAGGCAAAAAATTCAGCTACGATTAGAGCTTCGGTTATCATTTTTAGTCAGTAAGCTTGATTCGTTTTTCGCTTTAACACAGATTAACATCATTAAACCATTTCCTGCCTTGATTAATGTAAACACAGTTTCCAGAAACCAGTTTTGTTGACTTTAAATTGGCCAACATTCATTATTTGTCAGTTTTAAATCATGTATGTCTGCACTAAACATCCTGTACAGCCAGTTTACTTATGAATAATACAATGTTTCAGATGTTCTCCAAAATACGGATATAAATTTCTGAATTATTATCTTGAGATAACGAGTTAACTGTCTTGTAACTGTATTCTTACATCAGAAATTGGAGTCAAGTATTTATCCAGCAGGGCTTCCAGTGGCACCGGCTCGTCATCCAGAATGACGGTGTCGTCTTTGTGCTCCTTCAGCCAGTTCACCGTCTTCTGGCTCATGTCCGTCTCAGTTTTGATCACGTTGATCAGAGCTTTGATTACGGCCTGTTGATGTCTAATCTTCTGCTGGTCTCCATGTGGGAGGAGCTTTGATAGCGCCGTATTTACGCCCCACAGGATGGCACCCACAGCTACGGTTTCTGAGGTAAATTTTATGGCTTTTGTGATGAATTTTGGGACGATTCCAATAATTGCTCTTAACTCGCTCTGGATTTTGGAAAGCACTGAGACTTCCTCTCGGGCTTCAGCTACTGCAACCTCCACTTCCTCTCGTATTTCTTCTGGTAATTCATCCAGACCTTCTTCAGCTCCTTCTAGCGCTTCTTCAACTCCCTCAATAATCTCCTCAACCTCAGCCATGCCTGAATCGGGTTCGTCAACCTGGAAATTACAGATTCATCGCTTAGTAAATGTGGATGGGAAGAAAACCATTTATACAAGACAATTTTCATGTATGTGTACATATTATATATGCTGCTGGAAAAACCTTGTATCTCCATTGTTTCTCCATTTTTGTCATTTTTTAATTTTAAATATGATTTGAAAATGCCTGATGCTCTTAACGTAGTGCATTACTTTGCTTCAATTGTAATTATTTTGGAGATACGAGATGTGTATAAATATGTATACATACACTGATCAGCCATAACATTATGACCAGAGCACTGCTGTGTCTGATGCACTCGTACCAGCACAACACACACTAACACACCACCACCACGTCAGTGTTACTGCAGTGCTGAGAATGATCCACCACCCAAATAGTACCTGCTCTGTGAGGGTCCATGGGGGTCCTGACCACTGAAGAACAGGGTAAAAGGGGGCTAACAAAGTATGCAGAGAAACAGATGGACTACAGTCTGTAACTGTAGAACTACAAAGTGCACCTATATAGTAAGTGGAGCTGATAAAATGGACAGTGAGTGTAGAAACAAGGAGGTGGTCATATTGTTATGCCTGATCGGTGTATAAAATATATATACAGACCGAAAAACATTCTTTATTGATTCTTTACTGAATCAATAAATTTCAATCAATATTTTCAATCAAATTTCAATCAATATTTTCAATCAATAATTTTTCAATCAAGAAGTATTTACAAAAATCTAACATTTTTTTAAATGAAACAAATTGAACGAAAAAAAAATCAATCTTATAAAAAAAAAGTATTTTTCTCATATCTATGTGCACCCCAGTTGTTGGAACCCCTTTGTTTAGTACTTTAATATTTAATATAATATACTGTCTGTAGGTGGACAAATGAACTGTATAAAATGAGATGTATTGCTGGTCTAGCTAACCTTAAAAGCATTTAGCAGAGCCAGATCCTTTTCTGGTTTACTGCCTCTGCTACTCTGCTGTAATGGGGTAAATAACTGTAACTTCTACACTGGCTGAATTGTTCATAAACAGTAGGAGCTCAAAACAAAGATTTGTTAGTTATAAAATTATCATTATTATTATACTTGCTGAAATACTTTCAAAATTATTAAACCAAAATGAGTCAGACTGTACCTCAGAGTCCCCTCTTAATCTGAGTGTATAGAGGATGTCTAACCTTTAACACAGACCAGATTACTTAACACTAAAACACACAGATTATATTAAAACACACAGATATATAAAACACACAGATTATATTAAAGTATTTCAGACATAAAAGTGGAGATATGAACTCACCGAGATCTGCAGACCAAATGCTCAGAGTGGAGTTTTTAGACGCACTCCAGCAGAGTTGGGAGGGGCTACCGGATTATGAGGAAGTGCTGAAATTCTGTTCTGCCCACACTGGAATGATCCATTCCACCTTCTGCACTTGGTATGCTCCTGACTTTAACCGCTGCACCATTTAACATAGAAATTTTGAAATTTGAACAAGAAATCATTTCCAGCCTCATAGCTGAAAGCTGATGCTGGAGGTTCTAAGAAGTTCCACCGCTGTTTAATAATTTACTCAGTACTTAAGTGGTTCTTTGAGTTTCTTCCTTTGTACATTGTTTGGAAAGGTATGTTTACATCTACTGCAGTCATTATTTCAATGCAGTAACAACACTTTTACTCCAATCACAAAGCAATACAAATAATTGCTAAAACATTGAAATTAAACACAGAAAATTAAATTTGGAAAAATAATTAGTAACTAAATACAAAATAAAGGCTAAAATCTAATGGAGTAAAAAGATTCCTCTACCCACTCATATACTGAAGTAGAAGTAAAAGTAATATGATTTGTAAACAGTATGTACTTACTGAACTGGCTTGCAAAGATGACCATTTGACACTAGATCAACTTAATAACCTTTCTGTTTTCTGTTATTTTAGGACTCCCAGAAACGCAATCCTCAAATCTCATGGCCTAATCAAGAGATCACAGTATGGTCAGAATATTGTTTTTCCATTTGCCTCACTTCCCCAGAGCTTTGAGTAAGATCTACTTCCACTTAAAGCACAGAACCCACAAACAATACTGAAATCCCCTCTGAATACTCTGACTTGATTGAGGTATTTAGTGAATAGAATGCCACTAAACATCCTCCTCAACGCCCATATGACTGCTCCATAGATATCCTAGAGGGTGCCACTCTCCCTAAATCCCAGGTTTATCCATTAACCCAAGATGAAGAGAAAGCCATGGGGGAATTGATTGATGAGGCACTGGCACAAAGTTTTATTCGCCAGCTGCATCTGGATTTTTCTTTTTTATAAAGAAAGATGACAGTCTTAGGCATTGCATTGATCATGTTGCCCTCAATAACATCATGAAAAAAATGGCATAACCTCTACCACTGATCCCCGTTGCCTTGGAACAACTTTCAACTTTGAATTTTTCATCAAATTAGATCTTCATAGCGCCTACAACTTAGTCTGTATTAAAGAGGGAGATGGGTGGAAAACTGCATTCGTTACCACCAAGGGGTTCTATGAATATTTGGTCATGCCATTCGGTCTGTCCAATGCCCCATCAGTGTTTCAGTCATTCATAAACAATGTCCTCTGAGACATCACTGGACAATTTGTGATTGCTTACATAGATGACATATAGATTCGCTCACCCAATAACACTCATGTCCAGCATGTTTGTCAAGTCTTACAACGTCTGTTAGACAATGATTTATATGTCCGGGCAAGTGTGCTCACTGCCCCCTAGTGTGCGTGCTCACTAGTGTGTATGTGGTGTTTCACTGCACGTATGGGTTAAATGCGGAGGTCTAATTCCTCTGTATGCAAGCACAGTTAGCCAATGGTTCTGTATTAAATAAATTAAAATCAAATTAAAAAAGCTGTATGTACCAGTCCAATTTCGTGATTGCTTTATCACTTGGGCCTATTCATCTCTCTCCTTGGGACATCCTGGTGTATTCCACACTCAACAAGTCCTGACTAACAGATATTGATGGGAGACACTAAAAAAGCATGGGCACAAATTAGTCTCGTCATGTTCCATGTGTGCCCGATGCAAAACAAAACTCTCCCAGCAGGTAAACTTATGCCACTTCCCATACCAGAAAACCCATGGTCCCATATTGCAAATGAAAAATGTACCTGCACAGAACATTTTCCTCTGACACTATATAGAACCTTTACATAATGTGGAATATGGTTCTTTAAAAAGGTTCTTCACAATAATACATCTCATTAATAACAATGAGTCTTTGAAGACCAGTCTATTGAAAATTTCAATCAGACAGGGCCAAACTGTCATGAGCTGTCAGAGAGGCGAAGCGTGTATGCTCAGTGAATCCATGGACACTTCCAGATGCACTGAAAGATTTCTACATATGGTTTGGTGCAGAATAACGTGGCAGCAGGAAAGACCACCCTCCACCCAGCGACCAGGTACTGTGCCTGTCCACTGCTGATGAGAGGAAAACTCTGCGCAGAGTTAACCCACAGAAGGATGCTGGACCAGACAACATTCCTGGCAGAGTGCTCAGGGAATGTGCAGATCAGCTAGCAGGCTTACAGCGCTGTAAGCAGTGCTGTTGTTCCAGTGTGCTTCAAGGCCACCACCACTGTCCCTGTGCCGAAGAAATGTCCAGTGTCTTGCCTCAATGACTATCGTCCCATTGCACTCACACCCATCATCATGAAGAGCTTCGAGAGGCTCATAATGAGGCAAATTAAGACCCAGCTGCCTCCTTCACTGGACCCTCTGCAGTTTGCATATCACTCCAACCGCTCTACAGATGGCCATCACTCATCTTGAGAAAAAGGACACTTACGTTAGGAGGCTGCTCATAGACTTCAGTTCAGCATTCAACACCATCATCCCTCAGCATCTCGTTGGAAAGCTGAGCCTGCTGGGCCTGAACACTTCCCTCTTTCGCAATTAGATCCTGGACTTTCTCACTGAGAGACCTCAGTCAGTAGCAGCATCTCTAACACCATCACACTGAGCACTGGAGCCCACCAGGGCAGTGTGCTCAGTCCACTGCTGTTCACTTTGCTGACTCACGACTGTGCCACAGCTCACAGTTCCAACCACATCATAAAGTTTGCTGATGACACGACTGTGGTTGGCATCATCAACAAGAACGATGAGTGGTCAAGTCAACAACCTACATCTGAATGTGGACAAAACAAAGGAGAAGGTTGTTGACTTCAGGAGAGCACAGAGTGACCACTCTCCACTTACCATCAACAACTCTCCTGTGGAGATTGTTGCAAGTACCAAGTTCCTTAGTGTTCACCTGATGGAGAACCTCACCTGGACCCTGAACGCCAGCTTCATAACCAAGAAAGCCCAGAAGCATCCTACATTACCTGAGGATGTTAAGATTCAGGAAACAAGAGTAAAGTTTTATGTGCAAAGTTGAAAGAAAAATAAAAGTTACATGTGTGTATGTGCAAGTATGTAGAGCAGTGGTTCATAAAGTGCATGTTGCAAGTAACAGATGTAAACAGTAGTGTTCTGAATGCAAGACCCCCCAGGGAATAGTGAGGACAGCTGAAAATATCATCAGGGTCTCTTTTCCCTCCATCACGGACATTTACACCACACGCTGCATCTGAAAAGCCACTAGCATTGTGACTGACCCCACACACCCCTCACACGAACTGTTCTCTCTTCTGCCATCTGGAAGAAGGTACTGCAGCATTCAGGCCCTCAGAGCTGGACTGGGCTGTGTTCTGTGTTTCATATTTATTTATTGTTCTGTATTGTCTGCACTGTGTTTATTGTTTTGTCTTGCGCTTGTGTTCCTGTGTTGGTCCTGGAGGAATGTTGTGTTGTTTCACTGTGTAGTTATATAGAGCTGGAATAACAATAAAGCCTTACTTGACTGACTTGACTTGATATGAGTGAATAAGTAATAAAATGTATTGATAAAGCACATTTAAAACAACATGTGCTGAACAAGTACAGTAGAAACATCTTCACCATCACCACTGTCCACTATTCTAACACACAGACATACAGAAGTACGTACTTACAGTGCTGTGCAAAAGTCACAACTTTCAGTAAAAACAGACTTGATATTACAAAAAGAGACTGAAGACTTGGTACAAGGGCAGAAAAATGAGATATTAGCTGTAGCTTCAATAAGTTTATGGTCAGAAACACCAACAAGAGAATGAGAGGTGACAGGTGGAGCAGAGTAGACAGATAGATAAATACTTTATTGATCCTGAAGGAAATTTAGCAGCCAGTATGAGTCACACAGCACAGCACAGTTATAATAATAAGGGTGGATTTTATAGGAATATATACAAAATATGCAACAAGATCTGTCCTGAGATAAAGAGGCAGTGCAGTAATGACTGTACAAGGAGGCGCAGGTAACAGCATATAATGACAATACTGAATAAATATGTGCAGATATTGGTTCTTAGATAAAGTGTCCAGGTGTGGAGCATCCAGATATACAAGATGTACAGTAAGGTGTCCATATGTGCAGATAGATAAAATAAACTTATGATTTAGCATACGTAAATCCAGAGTGGGAGAGTCAACGTGATGTATCAGGTTAAAACAATTAAGCACAGACAAAAAAGTCAAGTGAAAATGAGCAGTAGGTGTGTCTGTGTCAGTCAGTGTCAACATGGGTAGTGAAATCACCAAGTACAATTATAGCTGGACACACCAACCTGGCTAGAGTGAGTAACTCGCTAAACTCTGGCAGTAAGTTTGAGGAAGATTTGGGCGGCGGTAAATGAACAGAACCAGCCCAGGAACTGAACCAACCAGTTTCAGGGCCATGTGTCATGGTGTAATATTCTGTTGAATGTGTGTTTTCTGACTCGTGTTACAGGCCCCTGGGCGCAGATGTTTCTTTCAGGGAAATTTTTATGAGGTCGCAAACTGCAACACTTCCCTCTACAGCTTAAGAAGCACAACTTTCACCCAAATGGAGATGATGTGAGATAATGAGTCTGACAGCTGTGATGGGTCTTACACAACAGAGATGAATCTACATTCCAGCAAACTTAAAAACCTGACAAACAACTTGAGCTAAAGTGCATCACCACTACAGACACGAAAACTGTTTATGGGCCATTTATGGACCCTAGGTTTGGCAGCAGACCCTTCACAGACCAC